AAATAATTTTAGTCATTTTATGATTTATTTTCACTAAAATTTTTATTTTTTCCTTTTTTGTCCAATTTATTTTTCCCAGCTGTGTTACAAATTTATGATTTTGTATTGTTTTCCTTTATTCAAATTTACATTTTCTGTTTTCAAAAAGTAAATAATGAATTTTTTTGCTATCTTAAATCTGAAATTCTAAATTTTCTATTTTTCCATTTTAGTATTTCTGACTATTTCTTTCTATTTTCTTTATTTTATATTATTATATTCTATAAATCATATTATACTCCCTCTGTGATATTCATACCTTCCCGCTTTCCTTTTTCAACCGCAACATTTATATCTAGATTGATCTTCTCATTTATAAATCTTTCCATCATACCCTTGATATTTTTGAAAATAATATACCATTACACCTACTTTTTTAATTTATCCTTTATTATATTTTGGCACACTATTTCAATATCTTCCCATCATATACCCTTAATTATTTATATCTCTTTCACTATATATTCTTAATTTCATCTACTTTAAAATGGGAAGATATAAATATTAAGGGGGTAGTATAGTTTGTCATTTAATTTAAGTGATTTGGGGTATAGGGTTTGGAGGTTTTGAATATTTTTAATGAAATTGTATTAATATTATTAAAATTTTAAGTGATATAATGAAAATTTTAAAAATGTAGAAAAAGTATATCACAAATCACAATGGTAATAATAATCCCAACTATTTTGGTAGAAAAAGTGTGGAATTTTGGTAAACATTTTAGTAAACATTTTTATATCATCATTTCAAGGTATTCACATTTTCACATTGATAGAAATTAAAAATAATAAAATAGAATAAATAGAAAATTCAGATTTTTAGATTAAGCTAGAATAAAGATCAAAATTGTAAAAATTGTAATGACAATTTACTTTTTTAAAATAGAAAATGTAAATTTGAATAAAGAAAAATAATACAAAATCATAAATTGGTAACACAACAGTGAGAAACAAATTGGAAAAAGGAAAAAAAATATATTTTTAGAAAATAAATAAAAAAATTACTAATTTTTTATATAATTTCGGTACATTCGTAGAATTTTAGTAATTAATTTTTCATGCTAAAAATATTCCGTTTAGAAATTTATCATTCCGGGTTTTTTACAAGAATATTACTAAAATAAAACATATTTACATAATTATGACTATTCATTACTACAATGTGGTGTTGTGGTAACTTAAGCTCAAAACTTAAATATGAATTACTATGATTTCATTACTACTCTAGTCACTAGTCATATTTTTGTAAATCATCTTTATTTTGGTCATATTTATGTAATTATTTCTAAAAATATTTCTACATTTTTCAAAAATTGGGAGTTGGTAGTGGGGATTAACTACAAAAGGTCAACTATAGTTGGGATTATTAAAAGCTAACACATAATTCACATTTAAAAATGACCTGCTATATCATGTTGTAAAAGGTTAGAGACTATTTTTAAAAAATGGACCCTATAGTTGGGATCATGCCACCCAAAAAAAATCGATAGTTAGAATTATTAACGAATAATAATTGAGATTATTATTTTTTCTTAATTTATATAGAAACAAAAGATGGATCAAAATATCAATCAAGTATTGATAGCTACGTGAAAAACTAATTTACATGGCACGTGTAAGCTTGTCAATAATTCACATGTATGAGAAAGGGTACCAATTAACTTGCATGGGCCATGCAAGTACATCGACCTAGCTAATTTAGTACATATGGGACAGACAAAAATAAATACTACGGAGTACTCCGTAATCCGTATATAGAAACAAAAGATGGATCAAAATATCACTCAAGTATTGATAGCCACGTGAAAAACTAATTTACATGGCACATGTAAGCTTGTCAATAATTCACATGTATGAGAAAGGGTACCAATTAACTTGCATGGGCCATGCAAGTACATCGACCTACCTAATTTAGTACATATGGGACAGACAAAAATAAATACTACTCCGTATGTATGTATGTGTAGCCATTTGTTATAGACCACCTTTAGTTGCATGTGTACACATGCACCTCGTTGCAGGGACGGATCCAGGATTTCTATTCAAGGGGGGCGAAATTTTTCGGTAGTGTAGGGGGTGAAAAAATTTTCGTTAGTGTAGTGGGGCAAAAATTTTTCCCTAGTGTAGCGGGGCGAATTTTTTCCGCTACTGTAGGGCTATGCGGCTAATTTTATTCAAAAAAATGACATTAATACATACACATCCCCAACGACATTTAAATCTATTAAGTAGTACATTCTAAGTTTAAATTAGACGATGACAAGGACATCAACCAAGACATTTTTAATAACTTTTACATTGTTTAACCTCATGAATCGGTTATTATTGAATTGTAATTTTTGTCCGGCCACCAAGGAGGGTGTTCGTGAGTCATGACTCATGAGAAGTTTTCTTAATATTACAATAGTAATATGTATGATATTATTATTTTTAGAATAATATGCATCACATACACACACACACATATGGTGCATATTATATTTTAATATTTGTATTAATGCTATAATAATTTAAAGTTTATTATCTATGCAATAAATTATTTTTAGAAAGCAAGAAGTAAATGAATTATGTAATTTAATGTCAATAAACATTTATATTTTGGATTCATTTCACGTGATCTAAAAACTGTGTAATTAGTGTGTCTGATATTTAATATTGTTTGATATACGGAGTATATTTTACAAAATCAAGTACTTGTATCTAATAAAGATAATTAAACACTACAAAACTAGGAATTCTTATATAATAAGTATACTAAATCTTAAACAACGCGTTATTCTATTGTTTATCTGTTTAAGTTATGTAATTATTTTAGATGTTCCTTTTTTTAAATCTTCAATTAAGTATTACATTATGTAACACTATATATTAATTTTGAAAATTAAAAGATAAGGGGGGCGAATCTAATTAAATTATGAAAGTTTTATGAAAATATTACATATATGGTAGAAAATTTTAAAAGTCCAAGGGGGGCGGTCGCCCCCCCCGCGCCCCCCCCCTAAATCCATCCCTGCCTCGTTGAGAAGCTCGCGTAAACATAGACAATTGGACAGTGTCAGGGACGGATTCAGGATTTTGAGCCATCACCATGTCGCGGCACCTCCCCGCCCCATGTCTTCCCGCCTACCTGTAGCCGCAGTCACAGCCGTCTTCACGTCTGCTCGTTGCGGCCGTCCCCATGGCGCGCCGCCGCCGTCTCCAGGCCGCAGCCATCTCCTCTATTTTGCATCCGCACAGCTGCACTCCAACTCATCGCCGCCGCCTAGCCACCCGCCTCCATTCTCATTCTTCCTTTCTATTTTTGAAATTGGGATTTATTGAAATTAGAATTTGTAAGCATTAAACATGGGCATTCAACATAGACAGTGAACATGGAGCAATAGATATGGTTGAATATCGGGAGTGAATATATATGGCAATAGATAATGTTGTACATGAGCAGTAAATGAATGTATTAATGAAGTGTGTTGTGTAGTGAATTGAAAGCAATTGATCGTGTCATAACGTTGTTGGTTTAACTGAACCGTACCAACCCAACTAAATCGAACCGAAACCGGACCGTATGCAATTTGGTTTGAGTTTGGTGCTATTTCTTTCAAACAGTATTAAACCGAACCGAACCGAAACCGATAAAAACCGAAAAAAAACCGAATCGAACTAAAGAAACTCCAAAAACTTTCATATATTATTAAAATTGGTGGTTTGATTTGGTTTGGTTTAGGTTTACTTAAGTAAACTGTTTGGTAAACATTTGCTCAAACTGAATGTTTTGGTACTTTGGTTTGGTTTAAAACGGAAAACCGTAAACCGAACCAAACAACACACACACACTTTGTATTTACCTTCATGACTCTTCATTTTTAAGATATAAATAAATAATTTAGACATGAAAATACATATATTTAAGCATATACTCATATCATTTTAACTTTTACACATTTCATACATTCATTGTGATAAAGTTAACTAATACGACATATTTGTATTTATTATGTTTGGTGATAACACTAGAAAATTGCATTTATAATTTTACATGATTCATTTGAATAAAATTGTGAATATTACAACATTTGTACCACCGACTCTTTTAGGTTTTATGAATATTTTATGTGATATTATAAATGCAAATCAACTATCTTATTTTTTGTAAGAAGTGAATTTTTTGTAGCGATAAAAAGATGTTAGAAGTTTCAATTTATAATATTTTATTATTTATTTTTCTATCCTTTATTTTCTTTTTACATTTTATTTAAATAATCAATAAATTAAAAAAAGATGAGATGGACTACTACTTTCATTTTCTAATTCGAAATATAGAACTTGATCAAATAAAATAATAAACATAAGCAAACGTTTCAAATCAAACTAAATTAAACATAATATTTTTTACTTTGGTAAACCGAACTTCAAACCGAAACGAACCGGAACCGAACTGAAACCGAACCGAAAAACAAATGGTTTTAGTTTGGTACAATGTCTCCCAACCCGAATAAACCGAAACTGAAGAAAACAGAAACGTAAACCGAATTGCCCACCCCTACGAAATATTGTAAAGAATATTGCACTAAATGAAAGTTCAATCTTTAAGACACTTTCAATTATGCATAAGTCTTGATAAGTGGTCTATTTGGCAAGGATTGAGCATGTTTATTTTTCAATAAATGGAGGAGGATTGTTGGAAATTTATTGAAAAATAAATCTCAAGTATTATTTTTGCATGGTCCTTAAACAATTTATAACTAAGTGTTGTGATTTATTGAATTGATATTTAAATGTAATTATTATTATTATTATCACCACCACCACCACCACCACCACCCACCACCCACCACCACCACCACCACCACCATCATTATTATCCATTATGAGAACTACAATTGTACACGTGTAATGGTAATCTCTCATACTAAGAATAAGAATAAAAAATTGAGAATTTCTACGGTACCTCTCATTTTTTTGAGTGTACCGTACCTCCGCCTTGCTGGGCCAATAGAATTCAGACATACAGATTATTTAAACACGTAGATAAAAGTCTGTTATTTATCAATCGGTCCCTGTTTTGACTGTACAACTAGACGGAGGAAGCAATTAGTTTTGACGGTACAATTGAACCGCAGGCAACAAATTGACGAAGAAGAACCAACGACCGGGAAAACTTCACGAGGCGCTGCTGAACTGCTGAAGTTTGCCTGATACGCAGGTGTGTCGTCGTGGTTGCCTCCTCCTGGGTTTATTGGCGGCCATATTACGGAGGTTTTTTCCTATCTATAGATGCTCAAATTTTCACTTGCAATTCTAGTCAATTTTGATTAAGGCGAATGTAGTGGTAGGATTAGAATAGATTTGATTCTCTTGTATCATCAATTATCAATATAGAAGATGAAAACCTAGTATCTAAGTAGAAAAAATTGCATCACAATTTCACACTTGCAGTCCATTCCAGTATAAATTTAACATGTGTTTATTTTTGCAGTGGTAGAGAAAAATGTTTGATGGTCATCAAGTTTATTTGGTTGTGACACTGATAATATATTATGACCCATATTGCTAGCAGACACCAACGATAAACATTGGTGAAGTGCTGATCATTTTAAGTGTTAATAGAGTTTTTAAGTGTCTTTTTCAGATTAACAAATGAGACAAGTGTGACTAGCATCCTTTGTATACTTAACTGTATCATGAACTATATGCTTAACCATAAATTACAATACCTGCATTTATAGGCAGCTTTCCTTGGGGAGACTTGTTAGAAGTAGCATTCCTGATCCTTGGATTGCGAAGAAAGAAAAAACACCACCAACTTAAGAGATTTCTCAAAAAATAAAACAGGAGAACTGGATGTTTTTATACATGGAGTACGTAGTATGAACAACTAAAATCAAGAAAGTTGCAGGTTGTTATTGACAATGTTGGGGGTACCTGAGAGATTCCTGTTTACACCTATGGTTAGTCCTTGAATAGGATCTGGTGCTTCTAGGGCTAAGACCCACTCCAGAACTCATCCTCCTACCCCTTCCTTTCACTGTGTACTGCAGCTCTTCCAAACTAGCCATACACTTATCAACCTTCACAAAGAAAAAAATGAGGGGACTAACTAACCATAACCCTTAGGGCAGGGGCTATATGACGGTGAATGAGAAAAATATTGTTCTATTGACTTTTTCATGAACTAACTTGGTCATCATGATACAGTTAAGTATTCATTGAAATGGTGGGAAAAGAGAGAACAAGCTTGCTCTAAAAAACTTGCTTTCCCATCACAGTTTTTAATTTGCATTTTTCGAGGAAAAAACCAAACATGAGAATAATACACTTTTTACAGCTATGAAACTTTCATACACTGTCCTCATTTATAAGATTTTTTTATTTGCATATATAACCGAACTGCATTAAACAAATCAGAGAAATAATTCAGGAATTACTACTATGATTTTACACTGCAGAGAAGAGTCTGATTACTTTCAATCATAAAATTAAGTTAAACCTTTTTTAGGTTACTTGTGAAAAAAAGAGCTCAGATAGTAAGTACCTCAGCCAACATATAATAACATTCCTCAGAGGCTTAGAGACCCGGACGACACTCAGGAAATGCGCTCCTGCTACCGCCAGCCCATGAAAATCCTATGACCATATAATTTCAATGAAGAAAGAGAATCTTCATCATGTAATTTAGCCGAATGAAATCACCAAAAGTGGCAAAAGATTGGGAGCAAGTGTATTAATATACTTTAGTGCTTTTTTTTAAATATTGTAATTACTCTAGAGTTTTTTAATTCGGTATTAGCAGATCTCTTTTTCCAACTATGACAGTTCAACTATCACAGTGAAGAGCTGTTACCGCAGAGTTACTGGAGAGCTTTCAGGAGATGGTTGGATGTGCTGGACTGCTATGTGGAGGCTGAAACTCCCGCCGAAGGTCAAGTGCTTCTTCTGGCAGCTCTGTAGTGGGTGTCTCCTGGGATGCGTTACACAGCAGAAGGGTGACTTGTCCTCTTGAATGAGGCATGTGTGGGGAGGCAATGGAAAAATCATTGCATCTCTTTGTTTCATGTCCGTGCGCCACCACTATTTGGTCTCAGGTGGGTTGGGGAGGGATAACAGTTGCTGCTACAGATTTCCTAAAATGGGTGCAAGCAATTTTTGAGCGGAGTAGTAAGGAGGACTGGTGCATTTTGGTGTTGCTGTGTTGGGGAATTTGGGAAGGCAGAAATGCTCAAGTGTGGCAAAGACCTTTAACTTCTGGGACAGCTGGAAAGGAGCCCAACATGATCGTGTAGGTGAATCTGATATGGAACAAACAAGAGGACAGCAAGTGCACTGGGGAGGTTCTGGGCAGGAAGTTGGAAGACGAGAGGGAGCTCTCTGGAAGCGACCACCGAGAGGTAGACTGAAACTAAATGTGGAGGTGACATGAATCTTGGAATAAGGAATAAGGAAACTGAATGTTTGTTTAATAAATTGGGAAGAATTCTTTTTTTTCGTATTTTGTTTTACTTGTGAGAGTTGTAAAAGAAAGAATCATAGATAAGGGCTTTGAGAATTAAAGAATAAAGAGTTACATAATATGTGTGAAAAAAGACCCTTGAAATAAAACCAAAAGTCGCAATTGTGTTCAACAATTAACTTAATATAAATTAAAGTGTAAAAATTAACATGGGGAGCAAATCAAGAATTTCAAAAAACTTATGTATAAGCAGGTTTGATTAAAACTAAAATGCTTATAGTTTCGCAAGAGTAATATAACTCAGAGGAAATGTTTAGATATCACAAAGTTTTAATGGACCATTACAATATATATTCAGACCAAACCATTCTCAAAGGGAAACCATTTGATACAGTTGCTGTAAATTTTGAGATATCACAATGTTCAACTTCAAATTAACCGTTTCTGTTTGCATCCAAATGATCACTTTCTTTATTAGAAATTAAGAAATCTGTTTGACTAAACATGCTAGTTTAAACCTAAAACTGGAAATAGAGGAAAAATTGCAGATTTTTTCTTTAAAAAATATCTTCTTGGGCTATGAATTCTTAACGTAGTAATGAGAAGAGACGCATGTTCCCATTACTTGGCAAACCTAGGAAGGAGGAAGTAAAATAAATAATAACGGAGTATAACCGTAACAACTCACTCAGTGATGGCTGAGAGCAGATGGATCTTCAGTGGGGTGAACACTTCCTTGAGTCAAAGCAGGATTTGAAGGTGGAGTCTCGACTTGAGTCAAAGCAGGAATTGAAGGTGGAGTCTCAACTTGAGTCAAAGCAGGATTTCAAGGTGGATGTAAAAGATGGTGAGGAATAGTCTCGGGCGGATTAGCAGAGAAAAACTCAGAAGCTGAAATGCATATTGACAATCACGATGAAAAATGCATAACAAATACATAACAGAAAAGTAAAAACTCTTAATGTAAAGTTGTGTTCGTTATATTGATAGCAGACAAATGACTAAATCTATCACAAAAGAAGTCCTAAAACCTTAAGAACATTTAAAAACTCTTAATATAATGAACATTTAAAAGTTGTGTTCATTATATTGATAGCAGAAAAATGACTAAATCTAACATAAAATAAGTCCTAAAACATTAGGAACATTTAAGTTGTCTGGGAGAGTTATTAAATTATAGGCCTTAGTGTGTATTTGAAAATGATCTGGAAGAAGTGTTCATTTAGCTTTCAGTTTCCCTAATGTTGTGTCCTACATCAATCTCATACGACTGAATTCTACTCAGATGTAACCCATGCACATATGTCCAGACAGGTTAAGCACAATAGTTACAAAAAGAAAAGCTTTAAGTTTGCTCCTTAGTCACAGAGTCACTACATCACACCCCAATAAAATAATGAAAGAAAAAAATAACAAAAAGTTTTCTGGTTGAATAAAAAGGGTGCAAATTCACAAAATAGACAGAATGAATATAACTTTCTTCTACAAATGATAGAACTAATCATTTTTAAATTTTAGTTTCTATAAATGCTGGCATATTTGGACCAAGTCAACGAAGATTTAGGTCCTAAACAGATCAACATCTTTCTCTGGTCCTTTCTTGACACTTTTATTTTAATTTTTTAAAGTATGACTTCACTCACCAAAGAAGGCGCAAAAATGTTGAAGCAATGTATTCTGTTTTTAGACCAGAAAAACAGTACCCCTACACATTATGGATAGAAGGGCCAACTTACCAAATTGGTAAAAAAAAAGGAGGGCTGTTGGACAGATTGGTCAAAAAAGCTATACTTTTATTGGTAATTTGGCCTGGATAAAAGCTATACTTCTTTTGTCTCACTTTTCACACATTCTTTTTCTTTCTCTTTCTGTAAAATAAAGTATCTAACTTTAGCCATGAGTTCTAACCCCCCTTAGTATAACATACAGAAAAAGAAAACATGATATGAATTCATTTTTAGATGACAACAAATTACAAAGGTGTACCTTTGGCATTCCTGGAACAAAACCTCAATCTGCTAAGGCATCTATTTTGTTAAATCCCTCAAATTTAACCGTACAGAAACTGAAAATGAAAGCATAATATGAATTCATGTTTAGATGACAACAAAGGTGTACATGTTGTTGATCATACTCTGCCATGTTATCTTCTTCTCATGCAATGATCAAGCAATGCTTTTAATTATTAACACCATTGTCATAAATATATCCTCAAATTTGATTAAAAAGCTGGTGGGGGGAATCCTGGGTCAAAATATTAGAAGTATTAAATAGTTTTGCCAATTATTTTATCCTTAATTAGGTTGTCTGTATTTAGTGTTATGCCAATTCAGGATCTGAGATTAGTTTTTTCCTAAATTCAAACAAAAAAAAACGGGAAAAGGGGTGATGTATCACACATAATTCAATTTGAATTAAAACTAATCTCACATCCTGATTATGTATCACACAATTCAATTTGAATTGAATGGAGGACCATTTGCAGCATTTGAAGAATTATAAAATCAATATAAGCTTTATGCTAAATCTAGGGTTTCAGAAAAAAACTTCAGATATTTTTTGAGATGATGATACAATGTGTGACAGATAAAAATAAATTGTTAGATTTAGAGATATTATACTCACCAATAATGAGAGAAATGGTTGAACCGCCATGTCCACTATGATTAATAAGGATGTTTTTACTTGGACTGTAACTTACTGGTCTGATCTGGTCTGGGACGAATTACAGTCCAAGTGACGGGCACTTTGTCACGGTGCGTCAAATTAAATTCAATACTAACACTTATACGTAGTATAGCGTAGTAGAGTTCGTATCCACAGGGAAAGGAATAATTTTCTTTTTAGTAAAACTAAAGGGGGGTTTTGGGATTGAGTGGTTTAATTTAATCAAGGGAAAACTGTCAAATAGGTCCTCGAATTTTCATAAAAAGGTCAATTAAGTCCTTCTATAGGAGGTTCTGTCCGGCCGTCGTGATTTGGGGCAGTTCCCGATGGAATTTTTTGATGAAATTTTTTTAGCATCTTATTCACCAAGTCTAGTTTACTCATACCAAATTTCAGCTAAAAATTCAATCGAAAACACATTCAAATTAATTCTTGAAGATAACTGCGCATTTTTGCGTTCTCGAATTAATTTGAATGCGCTCCCGATTAAATTTTTAGCTGAAATTCGGTATGAGTAAACTAGACTTGATGAATAAGATGCTCAAAAAATTTCATCAAAAAATTCCACCGGGAACCGCCCCAAATCGCGACGATCGGACAGAGTGTCCTATAGAAGGACTTGATTGACTTTTTTATGAAAGTTCGAGGACCTATTTGACAGTTTTCCCTTTAATCAAACACGAAGATGAACGACTTATATGAGATGTAATTCAAGAATAAAAAGGACTTGGCATTGCTACTTTCCACTTGTTGATATATTTTAGTCGATCATTGTTATATTTATAACTTATCCCCTCTCGAATACTCAATCGAGGAGTATATCCAATTCATCGAGGGTAGTTATTAACAATAACCGTTCATTAATAACCCTTACTATTAGTCAAGTATAGAACACCGCCATATACTGACTTGATAGTAGCATTTAATCTCTTAACTCCTTGATGAAATCAATTGAGATTGATAACCTCAACACAACGGTTTTGGTTTAACCAACAAAATTAATCTCTCTTAAGTTTATTAACCACGACCGTGCATTAATAAACCGAAGTTAATTACTTGTGAAACCATCAACGATTAACCATCGGTTCGTTGATCGTCTCTAGTAATAATTAATATATGAAACAAAACTAGTTGATCCTTTAAGTAATGTTCAAAATATTAATATGAAATATGAATAGAAATTAATTAATACTCAAGGAAGAATATTAAAGAAGATGAATCCTACTATAATTAATATCAAGATGTTAACTAATTGTCATCTTAGTAACACTCCCCAATATTAACATAGAGGAAGAAATAACTATTATTATAACTAATGTCAAGATGTTAACTAATTGTCATCTTAGTAACACTCCCCAACATTGATATAGAAATAGTATTTAAAGAAAGAATTAATATTCAAGTAAAGAAGTTAAGAAAATAACTCACAACTTTAATAATCAACAAGCTTCAAGAGCAACACCAAGTAATGGAAGTTTAGTTCCTCATTTGGAGACGAAACATGCTAGAAAATATAAACAAATGCTATTCTAAACTGAGCTTAAGAGAGTATGTGAATTGGTGAATAAATGGGAAGGAAATGAGGTGTATTTATTGGTGTTTGGAGCTGCCAGGGCCATTTACCCAACCGGGTTTTAGAGAAACCCGACCGGGTAAAAGGCATATCTTTGCCAAATCTTCACTAGCACGTTCAATTGCCCCCAAATCAGATTTTATTTTCGCATCAAGTCAATACCCGATCGGGTAAATGCTTTACCCGACCGGGTAAATGACTATTTTTCCAAATTTTCACTTGATCTTGTTCCCTTGCACTTTCCTTGAGCTTTCCTAATCGCCGTTTTCAGAAGGTCATCCTAATCGCCGTTTTCACGATTGATAGAAGGTCATCCTAATCGCCGTTTTCAAACTCTATTCGTATTCTTTTGGTCCTGTAGCCAATTCTAGAACTCTTTTGCCATCAAATCTTCATCGTGAACCTCCCGTTGACCTCTAAAGCTCCCAGATCAATCTCGAATGCTTCTTAACTTGTCCCGATTGCTTCTCAAGCGCCAGTGTCGGGCTCAAATTCCCAGGTTTTGACTTCAAATGACATAAAACTCGAACCAACGCCTGATAAACATAACTTGAGCTAAAATTGATACTTGCAACACCGTAAAGCCAGGAAAATCATCAAAAGCCGATCCCAAAACCTATCAAATGCGTGTCGAAATACGGACTTATCACTGTCTTACCCTAAAAATCCCCAACCGTAATCTGTTGGGTGTGTTTCGGAAAATAAAGAAAATTAATTAAAAGAAATTAATTAAATAAAATGACAAAAGAAAACAGAAATGAGATGGAGCAGAAATTTGTCAAAGCTCGTGCTACGCACGATGTCCTTAAACCGTATTTGTTGCCTCCCACGGTGCTAGGAGCGTTGCAACAATAGTTTCCCAGGATA